TATATTAGTGGTTGACTGAGTTTATTGGCTGATATTTGGCATTTTTTAATTATCGGCATTAGGTGAAAATCTAAAACATTTTTGTCGATAAGTGTCACAAGTAGTGGTCGACCGATATGGGTTTTTGACAGCCGATGCCGATATCTGGGAAAGCAGGGTGGCCGATATAAAGCCGATATAATTTTATTTTTTTTATGAAGCTATCATAATTTGAAATCACGAGTTTAAAGTTTGTCGATCGCGCGTCTCAAAGAAGCTGAACTCTCCACCTGTCAGCATTCAATTCGCACGGATCGACCGTCACGCAGAGAACACGCGATCATGCAGGATACAAATGCAATTCGACTAATTCTGCAAGGTTTGTGAAATTAAATGTTCATTAGTCATTCAAAGATTTGTTTAAATGATATAAATGCGTATTTGCTGAAGGCAAACGAGAAAGTATTATAATGTTGCCTTTCTATTACTAATAATATTAAAGCAATCGTTATAATACTTTTTTGTATACATTTTAATTCCTTTGTTTAACAGTTCTATCTGATTATTAGATAGGCTTATCCATATTAGGCATAACTGAACGACGACAGCGAACAAGAGGGAGAATGTGAGCACTGTGTGAGCGCTTAATAGCTTCAGGCGCTTCAGGCGCTGCCGTTCTCGGTGCCGTCAAAATAAAAGTCCGGTGCGAACACATCGGCCAAACAGAAAAACTTATTGGCCGATGCCGATATTTGAAAAATGCCAAATATTGTGACCACTAGTCACAAGTGGGACTTTTATTTTAACAGCTCTGAGATCTTTTACTTCAGTAAATACAAAAAGGATTATTTTTAGCAAATATTATGCAAAATCAATTTAATCACAGCCGTTGTTATGCTTGTGTTTGTGTTTGTGCTGTCTTTAAATTGAATAGTGTGATATCACACCATCATAAAACCACTACATTATATATGTTAACGTGTTAATATGCTGACCTTACTGCAATCTGCAATGGCACCATGGTACAGTAATGATATATGTGCAGTGCAATATATATTTGTATAATATTGTATATATAGGCCAATATTTAATCTTTAAAAACTTTAATAGTTCAATAGCTGTGAAATGGTAAGCAAATATTAAAATGAATATCCATTTTTCCTGCTATAATTTACAATGCCTAAATTAACTTGTAGCATTTAAAGTGATTGATTTTATTGTTTAGTGTTTTATTTTTTATTTATTTAGACAAAATATTATGGAATTTTAATATCATAATTTTTTTATCAGTTATCGGCAGTATTACACTTCAGATTATTATATTTTTCATTACGAATTTAAATCAGTTTTTATTTTTATTATTTCTGTTTTCATTTTAATTTGAATAATTTTGTTGTCTTTTGATCATTTTTAGTAGTTTTTTTTCTATATATCTATATAGTTTTTATTCAATTTTATTTCAGTTTTAGTTTATTTTAGTGCATCAAGTTAACTAAATTAAAATTGAGAAATTTTGCCTTGGCAAGTAGCTGAAATAAATAGTTTTTTATATATAATTGTATTTCAAGTAACAATTTTTGTATGGTTTTAATTTTAATTTCAGTTTTAGTTAACTCTATTAACCCTGGTTATTGGTCAGAAGATTAAATGATTATATGCGCATTAGCATTCGCTAGAATTTTAGTATTCATCGCTAAGTTACATGGTACTACCTGACATAGTACTACCATGTTACCATATCCAAAAAGTCAGTTACTGAAGTGCATGATTGACATTGACATGATGTTGCATGATGTTTTGAATAATGATCTGTATCTAATGATGCCCATGATCTCCCAGGCTTCGTTTCTTCTAGTCCGCTAGCCAAGCGTATCGTGCGCAGGTGATTTGCCTGAGGTCACAGAGGGGCATATGGTCTGTTTTTATCACATGTTGAATGACATCAGACCGCTATCATGACTGTCTCAAGTGATTTTCATAACGCAGGTCTTGCTGAAAATAGACTCAAGGAGCCTTTTGAAAGACAGAGTGTGTTCTACATTTTGTTCCCATGTGAATATCATGAATATTTGCGCATCAAACACCTGCGTGTTGTTTTCATTTCTGATCTGGCTCTGTTGATGCTTTTGGTAAAGAGCTAGATGTGCATAACTGTTCTTCTTCTTAACAGTTCACCCAAAAATAAAACATTTGCTTCCATGGAACACAACTAGAGAACAGAAGTGTCCCTTTAAGCCATTTTTTAACTGATTTTTTGGGTTCCACGTCAAGTTCAATGGTGTATTTTCTTCTCTGTCTGTTTCTTCAGGGGGTCCTTCTCAGTGGTGCGACGTTGTGTCAAGCTGTGCACGGGCCAAGAGTATGCTGCCAAAATCATCAACACCAAAAAGCTCTCGGCAAGAGGTAAATCTTGACTGCTTGAAAATGTTTTTGGACTGGGAAAAGAGGGTTGGTTTGAACTTTGAGATGGATAATATGGCTAAAAAAACCAGTGGATATTTTGGGTCTTTTACAGATATTTGATACATACCTTAGTATTTATGTACAGTGGTCTGAAATGGCTGAAAATAATGGGTTTGTTTCAAGCAAACAAATTGGAATTATTATTTAAATGCAGTTTTAATTTCGTTGACGAATAATTTTCATCATAATTTTCGTCAACGACATTTTTTTCACTGACGACAACGAGACGATAACGAACTAAAACTTTTTGAATGACAAAAACTATGACGTAAATCTATTGACATTTTCGTCAACGAATAAAAACGAGACGAAAATGTTAGGGAGGGACGATTTGGGAAGAGATTAATTTAGAACGAATCTGCTGCGTGGTTCGGTGTAGGGCTGCAACTAACGATTATTTTGATAATCGATTAGTTGGTCGATTATTTTTTCGATTAATCAGATTAAAAACAAACAATTGTCTTTTTTTTATTTTATTGACAAAAACACACTATTCCACATTCTGCCCAATGTCCTTAAAACAAACGTTCCAACTGAATGCTATGAAAACATACAGTGCTTAACAATTTATTAGACCACCTGCCATAATAAAGAGAAAACACATTTTAGGAATTTTAGGAATCTCAAAAAATTGTTTAAATCAAAACATTTTTATTGTCATTTATTTATAACTGAATACTTTTATTTATTCACATAACAAAAATGGCCTCCTATGCCCTTCATAGCTTGCATTCTTGCTGGCATTGTTTAAGTACTTTTTGACTGTAATTGGGTATCTGAAAAAAAAAACCCACTATAAAGCTCTCTGCCTTTCTTTCATAGATAACAGCAATAATTATATGATAGCATTAGAAACAGCCTAATAAATTTGTTTTAATAAATTTGTTAAGCATTGTATATAGTGAATGTAGTTTAAATCTCTGCATTAAAAATGTAAATAACAATAAAGATGATAAAGACGAATAAAATCACAAACTCAGTGGTAACCAATAGGTAAACAGTTCCTACTCTCATAAAATATGCGCAATGCATGTTGACCTTTAAACCTTTATTTAACTTTCAACAACAGATATTTCAGCACAATTAATGTTTTTGCGCTGATTATTAATTGTCTCTGTTTTCCGTTTGTCTGACGCTGCGCTGGCGCTCATTCAGTAAAGATTAAAATTGAACACAGACTGTCAGGACGGACCTTTATGCAAAAATGGAAATGCTCGCGTGAATTTGTGACATTTATACATAAGGAAATGACCGTAAACTGAAAGATTTTGCGCTGAGGACGCACACGCATCATCGGTCAAAGCACTTTAATGCATTAGCTTAAAATAAAGAATTCTCATGTTTTGGGCAGCTTGGATCGCGTAACTCTCCTGCAGCATCTCATTCTGTTTCCTCCACTATTTTAGATGCATTTTGTCCATAGAAATAAGTAATTCAGTGCTTTAATTTGACGCCACCGGCTGAAGTTGGACAAGTATGTAAACTCCGTTGGACGTGCACTATGGGCAGACCCGATTAATCGATAATGAGATAATAATCTATTTTATCGATTAGTTATTGCAGCCCTAGTTCGGTGGTTAGATGCGTTCATATGAACCGGCGGGACATAAGCTAGCATACACTTGCTGCACGTCGCATAAAACGTTAAAAAATGTCAATATGTGGGAGTAAGAGAAGAAGACTATGACTAAAACTAAATCAAAATTTGCTGTCAAAATTAACACTGTTTAAATGACATACTTTTCTTATTTAAAAAATTGACATAATTTTTGGAATAGATATATATATATATATATATATATATATATTTAAAGTACACTACCATTCAGAACTTTGGGGATGGTAAGATTTTTAAAGTTTTTGAAAGTTTGTCACCAAGGCTTCATTTAGTTTATCAAAAATTACAGTAAAAACAGTAATATTGTGAAATATTATTGCAGTTGAAAACAACTGGTTTCAATTTTAATATATTTAAAAATTTAATTTATTCCTGTGATCAAAGCTGAATTTTCAGCATCATTACGCCAGTCTTCAGTGTCACATGATCTTCAGAAATCATTCTAATATGCTGATTTGCTGCTCAAGAAACATTTCTGATTATTATCAGTGTTGAAAACAATTGTGCTGCTTCATATTTTTGTGAAATCCATGATACATTTTTCAGTGAACAGAAAGAATGGAATTTATTTGAAATATAAATCTTTTGTAACGATATAGATGTCATTTTTGATCAGTTTAATGCATCTTTGGATAATAAAAGTATTAATTTCTTTCAAAACAAAAAACCTTACTGAGCCCAAACTTTTGAAGGGTCGTGTATTCTAAAAAAGTATAAATAGAAAAATTACCATCATTTCTGACAAAAAAATTAATAAAAAGTACAATAATTCTGATAGGAGTTTCTTAGTTCTGCTGAACACAAAAGAAGATATTTTGAAGAATGTTTGTGTTTTTTTTTTTTAAATGCTATGGAAGTCAGTGGCTACTCTTCAAAATATCTTCTTTTGTGAATTATCCCTTTAATGCTAATTCTAGCAGACCCGAAAAATGAAATTATGAACTTATAAATGAGCATAATATGATCACTTTAAATGACTAGGGGAATATAAAGATGTCAGCGCTTGTAATAGACATGTTTGTGGTGGTGCTCTGTGATATTTTGGGTGGAACTGGTCTGTGTGTGTTTTGGGAAGTGTTGGCGCACTTGGGCCAATCATACAGTCTGCAGGTCATCACAGGCAGCCTGACAATTTGGCTCACCGCTGACAGCATGTCAGAATGGCCAACATGCCAAGAGCACGGGACTCATGTACACACTCGAACACACACCCACGGCTTCAAGTACTCAAACACAAGGGCTTTTGTTTGATGCTGCACTTCTGAAACAAAGCCAGGCCACACTTCAAGTGGAAAAAGTTCAGATTGACGCTTCGTCATCGCTGCTGTTGTTTTGACTCAGCTTGTGACCACATCTGACACCTCACTGTCCCCTGACACCCATGCGAAGATTCGCTTTCACTCAGACATCAGGGTACATTCATATTATTGCGGTTTTGCTCCGGAAGCAGGGTTTCGATGTCATGTGAAGGCAGTGCCAGCGCTGAAAGAGTTAATGTGGCAAGTGGAAACTGGAACAAATGTGAGAGGGCGGGGCCTGGGTGGAGTGATTGACACCGAGTGTAGCCAATGACGACGCAGCCCTTCCTCAGCAAGGACTCTCTTATTATGCAACAAGAGCTGCTTTGGGGAAGTAGTGATTTGCTGTGAATACTTTATATGCATAATCGCAGCACCTGCAATGCAGTATGGAGTTGACCTGGATTTACCCAAAGTGTCACACACATACATGCAGCACAGGAGTGAAACCACTAGATTGATCGGGGCAAATGACTCCAATTATAACGGCTTACCGCTGGGATAAATAGCAATAAAAGCGATTGTTTGAGCTGGAATTGTTTCTGACAGTCCTATTATCATGCCATGCAAACATGAGCACAGTTGCATTTGATTGCATACAGTTGGTCTCAAATAAGCGGCGTCCTCTGTGTGAAACACTGATTATCTTTAGTTTGCCTCCTGGCAGATTTGTTTGCATCAAAATTGTCTGTATTTATTTGTCTTGGGCATTTTGTTGGAATATGTTCTTTGCCTATGATGAACTGATTGTCGCTTTGGATAACAGCATCTGCTAAATGTGCAATGAATCAATTCCCAATAGAAAAGCTAAAGTCCTAGCCTATGCTTTTTATGGTTGAATATCCCGTTTTAGGACAGCACTATTAATCAAAGTAAATTTGGCTGCATAATTTGGGCAAAATGTTTTGAGATTAAATGTCAATAACTATCAAATTATTTTAATAATAATAATAATAATAAACAGTTATAAGTTAGCTTTTAATTGCCATTTTACACACTCTGAGTTTTAGAAGTTGATTGGGGTTTTAATACGAGTTATTTTTGCAGCTTGCTGAAGTATTTGTTTTCTGACGAAATGAAAGCTTGATAGTGTAATGTTTGAAATTAAGACAACCAAGTTAGTATTGTAATTTTACAGTTTTGCTGTAAAATAATGTTTTCATAAGTACTTTTTTATTTTACAGTAAAGTATTAGTAACATTTCACATTTTTCTGCGGAAATAAAAGCTTGAAGAGAACAATAAATGTTAGTATTGTAATTTTACAGTTTTACTGTCAATTATTTTTCATAAAACGTGCTTATTTTACAGTAAAATATTACAGAAGTAATCTTTATTTTTTCTGCCAAAATAAAAGTTTGATAGTTTGACATTCGAAAAGGAAGAAATTAAGACAACAATAAATGTAAGTATTATAATTTTACAGTTTTGCTATAAAAATACAATTGTTTTTTCATAAAACATGTTTGTTTTACAGTAGAATATTACAAAAGTAATATTTCTTATTTTTCTGACAAAATATAAGCTTTATAGTTTAATGCTTGAAAATTAAGATCATTAAACAGTACTGTAATTGTACCGTTTTATTGTCAAATAAATTATTCTCTCTATTTTTTTATTTTACAGTAAAATATTACAATAGTAATATTTAATAGGAATTTAGTTTAATATTTTAATAATTATAATAATAATAATGACGTTTAAGTGATATATAATCTATTTTTTTCAGTAAAATCTGGAAATGTTTTTTTAACAAATTTAATTGCCATTTTTAAATTGCAATTGCAGTTTGTTTGTTTTTTTGTAAAAAAAAAAACAAAACAGTTTTTTCCCCAAATTGTGCCACCCTTATGAAATATGTCGCATTATGGTAAATGGGTTGGGAATGCCATTTCATGAGGTAATTTACATATTGATGGGATTCAGGAGGTAGTTTACAAATGTCTTAGAGGTGCAGTGACATTCATTTAATTTGAAATGTTAGACATTTGTGAGTGTTTTTGACTGTAAGTGAACTTCAGAGATATAATTAAAATGTGACTGTAATGTGAGTGATGTACACAGGTGTGCTTCATTACTGTAGTCTGGTCATGAGATGGGATCAGATGAGTCTTTCTCTCTCATCTCGGCAGGGTCTGATGCTCTTTGCTGCAGAGGCGTTTTGTGGTGTTTGGGTGTCAGCATTCTCACAGCTTCACACCAGTCGCACTGCTTGATGTGACAACTTCACGAGCTGTTGTGTGTGTGTGTGAGTGTGTTTGGGAGGGTTGCAATGAGGCCACAGTAATGTTCTGTAAACTGACTATAGCTTCAGTAGCAATTTAAATGAGTGATATCATACTTTTTTTATGTAATTTTATTTATTCGCTGAGGTCTACTTATATACTAGCATTCAAAAGATTTGGTACAGTGTGATTATTTTTTTAATTTATTTTTTTAAATACTGTTAATTAGGGGTGTGCGATATATATCGTCTATGATAATATCGTAATTGTTGTTTAAACGATATGCGATTTGACATTATCGAGTATATTGCAAAAACCAAACACATCCATAGAGTGCATGCATACACTGTGAGTTGTAGGTTAGACTACTGCGTGAGCACATTTAGAGTTCACTCTTCAGCCCTCTACGAACACCTTGGCAATTGAATCGCCATTGGCTAGTAAATTTTTTTGTTTACTCGCCAGACTGATAAATATATATATATATTTGTTTGTAAAATGGCACAGTTTTATAAATATCTGAAAGTACACTCTTAACATCAGTCAGTCAAGCATTATAATATGATAATCAATATTATTTAATGATAGAACTTTTGTAATTAGAATTTAAACTTGATAACCATGTATGAATGCATATTAGTCATTTTAACTGAACTTCAGACTGGTGGTGATGCTTTTTTGGTCATTCAGTGTTTCTGTAAAAAAAAAAAAAAAAACTGGGGAAAAAC